GGGGGGGGGGTCTGAATTGAGCGATCAATTATTAGACTCGGACGTCCCAACACTTGCTTCGCAAGACAAACTCAAGGTATCCCCTAAAGGGCTACCTTTCGTGAAATGCCTTTCGGTTCTGACTGGCCAAAACTGGGGTAACCCGGTTACCCTGAGTTACGCTCTGAGTCAGAGCACGTCATTCAATTACCACAAATGCCGTTTGTTGAGTCTTGGAGATCCGAGCCAAGAGTCCGTGCCTACTCTAAGCCAAGGCTCTAAAACCCTTGTGCCTGCTGGCCTAACTCCCTGGAGAGAAAGGCTGCCTGCATGATCTAGCTGGGCTTCCATGCCATCTTGATGGCGTCCTGAATCTGCTTGTTGCTTGGCTCCAAGCGCTCAGCCTCACTAGAGGCCATGGACTGTACAGGAGACCAGTGGTTCACACCGACTACCACGTGTTGAAGGCCCTTTTCGCTGGGCCACTCAAATCGGTCCATTTGAGACTCCAAATCACCCCATGGGATCCTAGACCCCCGGCAGTAACTGGTGACCTCTCTGTACCTCTGTACACAACTGCATCGAACCCCCCCTCGGAGGGGTAAGTCGTTTCGGAAGGACCTGACATCCTCATCATCCTACATTCTTGTGTTGTTTGGCAATACCTAGAAGAAAAAATGACGAAAACCCCTTGCATACAGGCGCTACCTATCACTGGTCCATCCCACCGAAAACTCGGAACCCAAAACATCCCAGACTTGACTGCGACTCGCACCCCCTCCCGTCCCCTCTGCCCTTTTCGGTGGCCTCCAGTAGCGGAGCAATCGCTTCTTGGTAGCGCTTCAAGGCGTGCAAACCTGGGCTCTCGACCAGCGGGAGATGGTTGATGATTTTGCTAGACCTCCAGCTTGAACGTCCAACCTAACTTGAGAGAGGAGGGGGGTGAACGAAAGGTAGCAGGGAATCAGGCGTAATCCGGGAGGAGGTGAGAGGCCCCCACGGTTGTGTGCTGGAAAAGCGCAGAAAACCATGTAAATACCGGCGTTTTCTGCCGGGAAGGTGCACAAAACCCTGTAAATACCATAGTTTTGTGCAATTTTGAAGCCTCCAAAAGCCTCAAAAACCCTTTCCGACAAAATCTTTCCTGGTTTTTGGTATTTTTTTCGGTCATTTTTCTAACCGAGACGCATCAAAAACCATCGGTTTTTGCGGTGTTTTTTGCCGGACAGCCACAAAAAACGCTGTAAATTCCATGATTTTTGGTCACTGTTGAGGACTGGAAGAGCTGATGACCCCGAGGCGCGGGGGGGGGGCCCCCCGCCGGCCAGCAAACGAAGATGTCGGGGACCATTTCTCAGTCTCCAGCTCTGGGTATAATACATTTTTGCTAAAGCAAAAGGAAAACTCAGGTAGCGTAACCGCTACCTTTCGTGATGAGTCAAGAGTCAAAACATCCCACACGGTTTCACCACTCATCAGCAGAGTGCGTGTCCAACCCATCGTGGATCAGGTGAAGTGGACCGACACCCACTCATCAAACGGGACAACCCCCGTGACAAACCCCATAATCCCCATTCCGCCACGACCGGACACGAAGGGTCTCGAGCCGGTGGCCAAGCGGCTCATCCCCTGGCGGAACCAACCCTTGGGGTTGCTGGGCTCCACCTGCGGCGAAGTGCGGAGTGCGGGGAGGGGGAGAACTGCGAGAACTGGGTGTTTGATGGGAAAAAGAGTCCGGGAGCTTGTGGCATCTAATTCATGCATCTGATCTGATCATCAAACCCTGTCCCAGGACCCCTCCAAACAGATGACCGTCTTCCCATCCGTTCAAACCGCCTCGGAGCACTTCTTGGCATCGGCCAAGGCCTCACATGGCCCACGAGTGCCGCGCGCCTCTCGGTTCTGGAGCTCTTTTTTGTTGAGGCCCTCTGACAACAATCATCCAGAAATGCAAGGCCGGCAAGGCCTGATACCCAGGTGGTTGTCTTTCCATGTCTTTCCGGTTTACCAAAGCTCCCACGAGGCTGAAAATAGGTGTATAGTGTAGGATACAAACCCCACCCAATCCAACCCCAAACAACCAAAAAAACTCAACCAATCCCCCCTCTTCTTCGCCTGTGTGCCCCTCTGCCTCTAGACCATTCATTCCATCCGCGCCTTCTCATGGTCGCCCAACTTCAACCAGCACTGCGCCCGGTTGGCCCACACGGAGCCCATCTCCGGGGCCTGGGCATCGCGCCACGTCCGGCTCGGTCGCAAGGCTCGAAGACTCCACCATCACGGCCCCCAACGGCCCCAAACGGGGAGGTGCGATGTGAGCTCTTTGAGGTCTCCAGTGTTCATGATCTACACATGCGGCGTGTCATTCCGTATGATGGCCTGTGAGTTGCTTGGAAACTATTGACCCTGAGTACTGAGTACTATCTATTTCAGCAAACAGCAAATAAAACAATTCATGTCGGACACCATACTGCAGTTTGCCTTTGGTTTTG